GTAAACATCAGTTTCAGAACTGGTGAATGGCTCCATTCATCAGTGTGTATTTTACAAGCCAACTGCAGGTAAGTCTGAGGGAGCAGCCTGGGCAAAGCCAGAGGCAGGTGGCACAAGTTCAGTCCTCCGGCCAAGAAGGGAGGGTGCCTGTGACATCTGCCTCACAGGTGCCATCGTGTCACAGGGATTCGAAAAGGCGCAGACTAGCTTCGGCTGCCATCTTGTAAAAGCGGAGCAGCAACTGATTATGAAGGCCATGATTATTAAAATAGAATCCTAGAAGCAGGAGACGTGGGCGGTAGAAGATGGCCCAGTCAGTGAAGGGCCCGCTCTGCAAGCCTGAGTCATCAGCACCCACATTAAAAGGAGTGCAGATGCGTGGTTCTCCAGTCCCGGGGCTGGAGAGAGAGCTGGAGACAGGGGCTACCTACCAGAGCTGGGTAGCTATCCCGTCTAGGAGAATAGGTGAGCTCCAAACTTAATGAGAGACTCTGCCTCAAAAATCAAGACAGAGCAACCGAGGGAGAGATATCCCATGTTGATACACACACACACACACACACACACACACACACACACACACACGCACGCACGCACGCACGCACGCACAAGCATTTTTACCTGATAGAACAAGCCTCCTTCTAAAGGTATTTATAGTTTTGTTTTGTTTTTCGAGACAGGGTTTCTCCATGTAGTTTGGGTGCCTGTCCTGGATCTCACTCTGTAGACCAGGCTGGCCTGGAACTCACAGAGATCTGCCTGCCTCTGCCTCCTGAGTGCTGGGAATAAAGGTGTGTGCCACCACCACCCAGCAGTATTTATGCTTTTTTTTTTAAACTAGTAATATTATATAGTATGTCAGATCATTTTCGTAAATAGTATTGTAGTTTATCTAATCTCAGATTTTACCAACAAAGCACCCTGATGGAAGAGAAAAGTAAATATTCTGAGGAAACTGGTTTAGAGCAGTGGTTCTCAACCTTCCTAATGCTGTGACCCTTTAAGATAGTTCCTCATGTTGTGGTGACCCCCCCAACCATAACATTATTTTCGTTGCTACTTCATAACTGTAATTTTGCTACTGCTATGAATCATAATGTAAATATTTGATATGCATGATATCTGATATGTGACCCCAAAGAGGGTCACAACCCACAGATTGAGGTGTCTGGAGTAGAAGCTTCAAGTGACAAATCTAGTGTTTCATCTGTAAAAAGTGACACTAATTTCCAGTATAAATTTTTTTAAGGACAGATCCAAGTGATCTGTTGTTTTTTTTTTTTTTAAGATTTTATTTAATTTTCTTTTATGTGCATTGGTGTTCTGTCTGCATTCATGCCTGTGTGAGGGTGTTGGATCCCTTGGAACTAGATTATAGACAATTGTGAACTGCCATGTGAGTGCTGGGAATTGAACCTGGATCCTCTGGAAGAGCAGCCAGTACTCTTAAACCCTGAACTAGGTCTCCAGCTCCTCCACATAAATTATTTATTTATTTATTTATTTATTTATTTGTTTGTTTGTTTGTTTGTTTATCTATCTATCTATTTATTTATTTTGGTTATTTCGAGACAGGGTTTTTCTGTGTAGTTTTGGTGCCTGTCCTGGAACTCGCTCGCTCTGTAGACCAGGCTGGCCTTGAATGCACAGAGATCCCCCTGGCTCTGCCTCCCGAGTACTGGGATTAAATGCGTGCGCCACCACCGCCCAGCTATAAATTTTTAATTTGCATTAGTGCCATATAATAGAGACTCTAAGTATCTTGCCATTACAATAATGAAGGTTCCAGAAGCTATGCTCTGTTTAATAAGATTTCTAACATGCCTGGCTAACACAGGAGAAAAGGTAAGTAAGAACATGGCTGGGTCTGTAGAGGTGGCTCAACATTTAAGAGTAGTGGCTATTCTTCCAGGGGACCTAGGGATCTGACAGCCTCTTCTGGCCTCCAGAGGCACTACATGAATGTGGTGTACAGACATACATGCAGGCAAAAATAAATCTTTTTTTAAAGATTAAAAACAGCAAAGCTAACAGTCAGGCATGGAGTACTACAGACAGTAGGTGGCTAATTTCCAAGTCAGCAGTCAAGATAAAAGTTCCTTGGAGCAGAGAAGGGAGCATTTGGATTGAACTGGGGAATAGAGAATTGTTTGACTAATATGTCAGAGCACTCGGAAGTTGGTGAGGTTGGTCTTTCTGGTGTGAGCAGGCACTTGAAGGAAATATAAAACATGTCAGCTGAGTTTGACCCCTCCTTGGTGAGATTATGCGCCCTCCCTTCCACCTGCTGCATCTTCTGGGCACCCCACTAGCCAAGAACAATTTTCCTAGCCTAATTTTTTTGTGATTGGTTTTAAAAAATGACCGTGGCAGACTACACAGAGGTACTGATAGAGAATTGCTATGTTTGTACTTAATAAATTGATATCACGCAGCCTATGCTGTTGAGAATTGGCATACCTGTATTTTACAGGGCAGATGACCTTTTATAGCTAAGGGTTTGGTTCTGTGTGATAGGACAGATGGAGGATGTGCATGTTTAACTTCAGTCGCCATGATGGTAACAGGATCCTGGATCTCACCAGCCCCCATCACTCCACCTGCTCCTCCTGTGTCACCAAATGGCCACCACCTCTTTAACTCGCTGCATTAGAAGTACCCCGAAATCTAACAACCGCCATGAATTCTCCTCCTCTCCTTCACTCCTCCATCCAGTCCGGTATTAGAACCCTCTGACGTGCCCTTTGCTCTCTGACTGCCCTTAGGAAGACTCTGCTCCTTAGCACTGAAACCTAGCTTCCTCGAGGAAGCCTTTCTTGGTGCTTTTTTCCTAGAAGGGGTTGGCAGTCTATCCTCAGGGCAGTTGGAGGTGCAATCAACTTCCATTCTAAAAAATCGATTGTAGAGAGATATTGGCCAAAGTACACAGAGTTCGGCAAGGAGGAGTGAATTCTGAGACCCATGGTACAGCTTTGTGACTATGATTAATAGTCATACGTTTGATACTTAAAAATTGCTGATGGCTGGCAAGATGGTTGATGACCTGAGTTTGATTCAGGGACCCACATGGTAGGAGAGGACTGACTCCTACAAGCTGTCCTCTGATCTCCACATACTTGCTAATGCACAAAATTTTTAAACTGTAATAAATTGTTAAGAGAGTACATCCTGAATGTTCTCATCACAAAAATATGTGAGATGGTAGATATATCAGTTAGTTTGATTTAATCACAATGTATGCATCTTTTAAAGCATAGTAAATATCATAAGTATATATGATTCTTGTTTGCCAATTACACATTTATGAATTATGGAAAAGAACCAACCATACATAGTTCCTTGAAGTTGGGGATCTTACCTTATTCTTCTATGCAGACCTGCAGTTAGGTACACCATACCCTCACTGATGTTTGTAAATAAATACATTAAATGAGGACATTGATTCCTGGTTCTTGTGAGGGGTCTGAGTGAAAGAGGCTGTAAAGGTAGGCAAAGACCAGGTCTTGAAGTATCTGGAGACCATGAACATAAACGACCATGTGTCATGGGACACACAACCCTCCCTATAGCCAGCTCTGGTGACAAAACTAAGCCAAGGAAAAGAGAAGTAGTAGGTGCATTTTCAAAGAAGTCTCTGAAGAAGAAGCATGCCTTTTTGCTTCTTTCCTTTTTGCTGGCTGGAATGAATCCAAAGACTGGGAATCCTACAGCCTCAAATCCATGAATAGCCATTACACCTTGACAGAGAAGGAACATGAAGCCAGAAGGTGTGTGGCAGGAAGGAGACCATTCCAGAATGGACAGAATGAAGAGACATTTAGAAACTGGATAGATGATGACAAGCCACCAGATGATAGAGGGAGAGAAGGAAGTGCTTCTAGAGGGAGGAGATGGTCAACTCTCAAGACTCAAGGTTGAGACCCAGCAATTGTCATTGGACTTGATGGCATAGAGCCTTGATAGGCTACTGAAATGGGGCACAGGGGGGCAGAAGTGAGGTTGGGAGGGAAGAAGTGAGGTGGGGGGGGGGCAGAAGTGAGGTTGGGGAGGGCTGAGGGTTCTAGAAGAATAGAGGTGACTTTGGAAGATAGAAAGGATTTGATAAAGAGTGATCAGCTAGAAGGATTGTAAAGGGTAGGCTTTCCAGAGACCCTAGAATGTGTTTGCGCACCAGTAGGCAAAATCCTACCGAAAGGAAAAGAGAAAGGAGGAAAGGCCATGAGATGAGAGTTGACGGGGCCTAGAGCAAGTACTCAGAGGTAAGGTGTTTGCAAGGAAGAGGAACGGAGTTGTTCAGTGTTGAGGGAATGGAGGAAAACCAGTCTATGTTTGGGTATGTCTGTGGAGCATCCATCAGCAGCGTCTTATCTTCTGAATAGCAAGGCTGTCGGTGGAAGCCTCAGGTAGTAAGGTCGTCCTCCAGATCATGTCAGCCTCTTCTACCGTTGGTGTTCTTAGGGGCTCCGAGGAGAACCCTCCCCAGACTTGAGGTGGGCATAGGCTGCCTTGCAGTCCTCCAGCTTCTGTTAACCCATGCATGGCGAGCACGTCATAGTCAGGGCCCAGCCTCCTGGCCTAGCTTCTCTTCTCTCCTGATATCTGTCTCTCATGGTACCCACGCTCTGCTCAACTACACAGCTGCCCTCAGACAACCTGCCCCAAATGTATTCTTCCAACTAGCTGACAATGTCCCTTTCTCATCCTCCATCAAGATCCTATTCAAACATCATTTCCTTTTCAATGTTTTGTATTCCCAGACCCCATCCCAAGGCCAGTGAGATCCTAAGTCTTCTCAGAGATCCAAGCCACAGTTGTAGCTTATTTACTGGCCTGAGCAGGGTGTCTGGTGTGGGGCAGACATGGAGTGGGTGGGCGCTTTGGACTGCTCAAACGTGCTTCTTGAGCAGTTGTTTATGAACTGAAGCGAACTTTTGTATTGAACTGTTAGTTTTTGATGCACAGAAAAAGTATTGGCATTTTTCTTTTTCTTTTTATTCTAGGTGGTTCTGGAATGGAGCCGGGATCAATACCATGTTTTGTTTGATTCCTACAGAGACAATATTGCTGGGAAATCCTTTCAGAATCGGTGAGAGTTACTTCGTAGAGTATCTTTTATTTGAATTTAAAGAATAAGCCATGAGTTCCTTCATGTTTTAAATATGGCGGTTGTTTAAAGAGATCTGTCCAGGCTGTTTATGTCAACACAAAACACGTCTCTCACCTCTAAGGGAATAAGAAATAATTTACTTTTGAGGCAAATATATGTGGCCAGGAGTATGGATTCGAATTGTGCCAAGTAATATGTTCCTATGTGAAAATGGGGTGATGACGTTTTTCTAGTTATGTAGCAAAAGAAAATCATAAATGCATTTTTTTAAAGCATATTGATAGCAACATCAGGAGAGTGGGTTACAGAAAATTGGGGGGAATCTCTGCAATAGGTTCAGATGATGGCATTCCTGGCTTTTGGATTGGTGGAAGCTAGTGGTCTGTTAATACGTTTTCAGTGTCTCTCACTTGGTGGCAACAAGGATCTTAGCTCTGATGCAGAGGTGAGCACTGGACGGCTATTAGGAATATTAAAAAATAGCCCGAGAGAATTGGGCTCTGAACCTGCAGCATTTTAACTCTACAGTCAGATGGTTCCGAGCGGTCAATTATCCATGTAGAATCTTTAATGGAGGTGTGACTTTGTTCCGGGAACCTCAGTTCACATGGATATGGTTTCAGATGTTTCAGAATATATACACCCGCCTGCAGAAACCAGCTAGTTGATCCTATTTTGTAGGTGAAAATTCTTGACCCCAGGAAACAATCTTGCCTTGCAAGGTTGAAGAGACCAAGCTGCAAGGGCTCGTTTTTCTCTTTGCAGCTCTGTGAGGTACAGAAACTTTCATCCATCATAGGAAACTAGGTCACCATTACACAACCAGCTGTGAGCGCTGGTCACCACCACACAACCAGCTGTGAGCGCTGGTCACCACCACACAACCAGCTGGTGAGCACTGGTCACCACTACACAACCAGCTGTGTGTGCTGGTCACCACCACACAACCAGCTGTGAGCGCTGGTCACCACCCACACAACCAGTTGTGAGCGCTGGTCACCACCACACAACCAGCTGTGAGCGCTGGTCACCACTACACGACCAGCAGTGTGTGCTGGTCACCACTACACAACCAGCTGTGAGCGCTGGTCACCACTACACAACCAGCTGTGAGCGCTGGTCACCACTACACAACCAGCAGTGTGTGCTGGTCACCACTACACAACCAGCTGTGAGCGCTGGTCACCACTACACAACCAGCAGTGTGTGCTGGTCACCACTACACAACCAGCTGTGAGCGCTGGTCACCACTACACAGCCAGCAGTGTGTGCTGGTCACCACTACACAACCAGTTGTGAGCGCTGGTCACCACTACACGACCAGTTGTGAGTGCTGACCAGCTTAACAGCGCTCTGCCCACCAAGACACACCCATAGTGACTGCCAGGGCTGGACCTGCACTTGGTCACCCCATCTTGTTGCCTCTGAGGTACCAGTAGCCTCAGTGTCTGGGTCTTCCTCTGTTTAGGTGAAGCTTCCCGGTGAAATGCTGTCTTTATTCTTACTCTTGGAGATTCTCTCCTTCATAAGCCAGGCCTCAGAATAGAGGCAATTTCCCCACCCCAAGTGTCCTACATCTCTTCTTCAGACAAAATGAATCACATAGGTCTTTTTTTTTTTTTTTTTGGTCTAGACAACTACTATTTAAATGTTTATTTTATTTTTAATTATATGTTTGTATGTGGCTATGTGCAATTGCATGTGGGTGCCCATGGAGGCCAGAAGAGGGTGTCAGATTCTCCCAAACTGGAGTTTCAGGTGGTTGTGAGCTGTCTGAAGTGGGTACTAGGAACCCAACCCAGGTCCTCTGCAAGATGACTGCTGAGCCAACTCCCCAGCCCAAGTAAAACATTTTATATCATAACAGCAATGTATATCTGTGTTGGAAATGGTTTAGAGAAGCAGTGTGTGTGTGTGTGTGTGTGTGTGTGTGTGTGTGTGTGTGTGTGTGTGTGTGTTTCTTTTTAGTCTTTTTTTTTAGAGACAAGTCACTCTCTGAACATGGAGCTTGCCGATTTGGCTTGCCTGGCTGGCAGGTGAATGCCAGGGAACCTCACCAGTGATACTCCTGTCTCTCCCTCCAGCTGAGATAACAGGTTGCCGCAGCTGGATATTCACAAAGGTGCTGGGGAGCTGAACTCAGCTCCTCATGACAGCCATCCCTGCTCCAGCCCAAGCTTTCACTTTTTGCTTTGGTCTGTAGCGTACTCTAATTGTCAGCGGTATCCCTTTCCCAAAGACTGACTCTCAGATTTCCCCGTTCCAGACATGGAGAGGTGTGTATCTGGGGTGACAGTGAGAGGGGAGATCGTATGTAATCAAAGTAAGGGAAGGACAGCCATCCTTAGGGTCTTCAGAGCTGCACTTTTCAGACACTCAGGCTTCCCAAGACCTCAGGGGCTCAATGAAATACAAGATCTTTCATAATCTTACTTGCTTTTTAAAAAGTATGCATTAGTGAATGGTATAAAAGCAATAGTGTGTGGAATTGCTTACACCCTAATATTTTTTGTCACTGCATTGCTTAAAGGGAACAGAACAGGATGGTTCTGTTTATAAATGCTCATGATGAAGCAGTAACAATTGTCAGCCGGTTACGTGTTGATCCTTGAGTGTATATCTTTCTAATACCCTGGATCAATGTTTCTCAACCTGTGTGGGTCATGACCCCTTTGGGGGTGGCATATCAGATATCCTGCCTATCAGATATTTACATTATGATTCATGACAGTAGCCAAATCACAGTTGTGAAGTAGCAACAAAATAATGTTATGGTTGGGGGTCATCACAACATGAAGAACTGTATTAAAGGGTCACGGCGTTAGGAAGGTTGAAAACCACTGCTCTAGCTGATGCTCGTATGGACAACGCGGTGATTGCTTAAGTAAAAGCCGTTGGGCCGGTGAGTCCCAAGTTCAACTAGCCATCCTTTTTCCCCCTCCTTCTTTTAATTTATTCTTTGTGTCTTTCACATCATACATCTCCCTCCCATTCATTTCCCTATCCCTTCTGCCCTTGCAGCCTCCCCCTCCCCCCCCCCCCCAGTAAAACAAAATAAAATTCAAGAGAAAAAAAAGAGAGAAGGGAAAATCATTCTCGTCATGGAAGCTGTAGTGTGACACAGTGAGTTATGAAGTAAACCCTTTCTTTCGTCCACACATCTTTACTTGCAAGTGTTCATTGCAAAGAGTCATTCATTGGTCTGGTTCCAGGCGTCTGGCTCCTGCTACACCACCAATACTGGATCCTCACTGGAGCTCCTTTTGTTTATCCTGTTGTGACCCTGTGTCATGGAGATCCCGCAGCTTTGGGTCTGCAGGATCGGTCCCTTCATGTGCTCCAGCAGTTCACAGATGGGGCGGATGTTGGGGTGAGCCGACTCCTAACCGTGGTTCTGGGCCTAGGTAGTTGTAGGGTTGGTCAGCCTGCCAGCTCTCCCTTGTCCTCGCCACCAGGGTTTGCAGTGACTAGCAAGGGGCGGGGCCGTCAACAAGCCGTCTTTTTCATGGTAACTCGTGATACTTGATAGGATAAACAGTAGTGTGATTCCTCAGATTTAGTTATTTTTTTGTCAATGAACAAGGTGGTCTTGTCATTTCAAGAAAAACAAATAATAATATTTATTGGTAACGGTAACATTTGCGTTTTCAGGTGTGTAGACCTTGCTTCCAACATGGTGACAGTAACAGCTTCACCATGCTTTTGTGAGTAAGTTTGGTCTCATCGCCCGAGCCACATTTGTTGACATTACATAAGGAGATTAATAAAACGTATCAACATTTGGCAGATCCACGTGACTGTGTAAGCTGTTGTTTTCCAGCATGTGATGTTACAGAATCTTGCATTAATAATCGAGCTGTTCAAAGTGCAAGAAAGGCCAATGCGTTTTAATGTAAAACCCCAGAAGTCTCCTGTGTGTTTTCAGATTCCACGCTGCAGCTAGCCCTGAAGTCCCTATGGTTGATTTTGTTTTTAGTGTCAGAGAAGGATATAAAGTATTGTCTGAAAAAGCTATTAAAAGATGCCCCCCCCCCAACTTCCACTCTGTGTGAATGGAAGTTTTCTTTAAAAACTTTTCCCTTTTGGTTGGATAACCAAAGTGTTCTATGTAAACAGATTGAAACCAGAAGCTGTAAGATGAGCAGAATAGAGATTTTCAGAATTACAATAATGCCTCTCTCTAAATTCTGTTGTTACTGCCTAGAAAATACAGTTTCTGGGCTTCAGAGATGAATCTGTTGGTAATGTGCTTGCAAGTAAGTGCAGGAACCCAGAGTGATCCCCAGCACCTAGGTCAAATAGCCAGGTACACAACTGTGAATCCCAGTGCTGGGGAGGCGGAGATAAGCAGATACAGCTTTGGCTGACCTGGAACTTGCTGTGTAGACCAGGCTATCCTCAAACACAAAAATATCTGCCTGCCTCTACCCACCCCCCTCGAGTGCTGGGATTAAAGATGTGCACCACCCTACCCAGCTCTCCGCAGAATTTGTTTTTTTATCTTGGTCATTTATTTATTTATTTTTGAAGCAGGTCCCACTATGTAGTCCAGTCTGGCCTTGCATTCAGAATCCTGCCTCAGCCTCCCAAATGCTGGGATTGCAGCCTAAAATCCTTGTGACTAATGTTTCTACTATTTTTAGGTTGCATCAAGCAATGTAATGTTGTTGTTGTTTTTACTTTTTGGGGGGCGCCCGCCACCCAGCTCCCAAATAAATCACACATGAAGGCTTATTCTTAATTATAAATGCCTGATCTTAGCTTGGCTTGTTTCTAGCCAGCTTCTCTTAACTTTAAATTATCTCGTTTACCTTTTGCCTCTGGGCTTTCCCCTTTTCTTCTATAATCTTACTTTTACTCTTACTCCATGGCCTGTTGTGTAGCTGGATGATTGACCTCTGGAGTCCTCCTCCTTCTCTTGCCCCATCTTCCGCCCAGATTTCTCCTCCTATATATTCTCTCTGCCTGGCAGCCCCGCC